TATATACATATACCTATGTATATATATATATATTTATTTATTTATTTATTTATGTGTGTGTGTACATGTTTGTGTATCTATGTAAATACTTGTAGATGTTTGTGTCTATGTATGTATGTATGTATGTATGTATGTATGTATTTATGTGTATGTATTTATGTATTTATGTATGTATGTAAGCATGCATGTATGTATGCATGTATGCATGCATGTATGCATGTATTTATGCATGCACACATGTATGCATGTATGTATGTGTGCATGTATGTATGCATGTATGTATGTGTGCATGCATGTATGTCTGTATGTACGTATACATACCGCACGAGATAGAGAGCGAATAAGTACTATGACTATGTGTTACTTCCAACTGATTAAATATTACAATGCCAGTTGTGGGGGCCGAAGGTGCATAACCCGGACGGGTGTAACCTGAAGCCTATTCGAATCTCCAGCCACAGCATCCTAGCCCAAGACGCCGCAAAGACAATTGACTTAACAACGAACACGACTTCAGCCGTATCTGGCTTCTGACTTGGTTCAAGGCACATTTCTGAAATAATTAAGCCACAAAGTCAAATGAACGGCTTGCCTCCATGCCGACAGGGGGCCCTCTACACTTCCTAAACCCTTACTGGGGTCGTTAAGCCATGCTTTTTGTTTAAGACCCTTTCCCGTCTGCGCTATCCACGGCTTAGGAATGAAGGTTTGGGGCTTAGGGGGTAGGAAGCTTAAGACAGTTCTGAAACCTACGGGGGCAAGCTAGCCTGCGATGGGGAACAGGAGGCCTGAGCCACAACCCACAAAGCCCCTACCCTAAACCCCTGAGCCCTGGGCCCTAAACCTCTGAACCCCAAATCTTCAACCGGGCAGGGTCGGCATAGTATAGTTGTCGAGATTATCCCCTTTGCAGTCCCTTTATAGCGATTCGACACAATATACCCCGCCCCCCCCCCCCACAAAAAAAATAAAACATACCACTCAAACCCTGCATTTTATGAAGTGCCGCAAAGTAAGCCAAAGACTCTTTGCAACTTGAACCCAACACCCCAAGCCCCCCAATCCAAGAACCGTACCCCGGAGTACCAAACTCTGTCCGCTGAGCTTTAAACTGCCCAAGCAGCCTGAAGCACCATACTCCCGAGGGTTTAGGGTTTAGGGTTGCTATCATAGGAGCCTTACAAGTTACATCTGGTTTTCGGGTATATCCTGTGGTAGAATAAAGATTGCTAAGGAACCCAAGGGGATGACATTGGTAGGTATTCCGGTTTCCATGGTACACACACGATGCGTCAAAGAGGCGTGTGATCATGTTCACCTTGCGAACGGCACGGTGCATGGCACCACCTGGCACACTGTTTAACCTAATGATTTGGCATGCTTGTGATACCCTAAACCCTAAACCCTAAACCCTAAACCCTGATAGAGTCTGATAGAGTACACTAGGACTCCCGGCTTGCACGATCACGGGACTGGCACGTACACGCCTCCAGCATGCGAGCCGGCACGTGTCAAGGTTTAGGGATGTTGACAGTCCCATAAAGCTTCCAGCAGCGGAATGGATTATATGCAACCTAACCTTAACTTTCATGCAGCATACCATAATCAATCAATCCCCAGTCCCAAGCCCCCCGCTCCCCGCCGGGAGTGGTTTTGCCTTCTCGCCTAGCTTTGGCCAAAAGCTTTTGCCTCGAGCGCCCAAGCCCTTGGCCCCAAACTCTGCGCAAACAACAAAACGAGCCTTACCCATAGACCCTTTTTCCACAGGCTTGAACTGAGCTCGCCCGGCCAAATCCCTCGCAGCACATCGCACTCGTGGCGAGATGCGCAAGGCTAAGTACGCACAATCCTCACAAACCCTAAACTCTCTACAGTAGTAGTTCCTTTTTATGGTTCATAACTAGAATCCTAGAAGGTAATCCCAGAAAGGAAGTACTAAGGAGCCTATGGGTAGGTATAGCCGCAGCCCTAGACCCCAAAAAGCTCGGAACGGCCTGGTCTTGGGGAGGAGTCGCCCGGCCTCGCGCGCATGTGCCACTGTGATGTCGTGTTTAGACTGTACGGGTAACTCGTAATCCAATTAGACAGGGCCTATAGGGGGATACGAGTACACGTCATTGGAAGTCAAATTTAGGGTTTACTGTTTCCAGCTCCTAGACTAGAAGCCATGGTTTTTGGAACATGGCTTGACGAGTACCAGAGCTCAAGATTCTTGATAGTGTAACGACCTTTTATCGTACGGGTACGTAGGGATGATCGACCTACTTGGCTGTTAGCGCAGCCAAGCCTGCAGAAACCCTAGACCCTAAACATCCCCACAGCTCAAACGAATTGAGCATTTGAGCATTTAAGTTCTCCTGATTTGAGCCTAAACCCTAAACCCTAAACCCTAAACCCTGATGAATGAGGGTTCATGGCTTCAGATGGTCCATCGGGGCCTCGGGTTCGGCTCTCTGCAAAGGAATGCCTCGCACCTACAGAGCCATGACGAGGGTTTGAAGAGGTCTAGACAGCCTTAAAAGTGTAGAATGTACCCACTACAAAACCCTACTTTGAGACCGCAAGCCCTAAGTCCCAAGCCGCCCCCCAATTCCAGCCGAAATCCTACTAGATAAAGAGTTTGGAACTGTAGCATTCCGTAAATTTTTGAATCCGACCATCCGGAAGCTCTCACCTCTATGACGAAAAACCCTAGACCCTCGACCGCGCCTTGGAGATGGCGGCTGCATTTCCATCGCCGAGACGCCGTGGGGCATCAGGTGCATGGCTGGTGCTGATGCACCGTGGGGCATCAACCAGGTCTCGTCAGATTTTGGCATTTGGGGTTTAGGGCTTTAGGATTTCAGGGTTTAGGGGCTGTAGTGTTTTACAAACGGTTTAAGGTGTTAGTTCCTAGGGTTTCAGCACTCACAACGGGGACGGGTTTAGGGCTTTAGGGTGTAGGGCTAGGTTCGGGGGTAGCACAGCTTGGACAAGTCCGGGCGAGGCGTCTGAGTACGTTTGGCGGTTTACTCTAGGGGTCGAAAGGACCCGGCAATGAGAATTCGGCTTGCAGTTTCATACTCCCCAAAAACTAGCCTACCTTCCTAGTATCCTAAAGAATATAGGATAGTAGGAAGGTGGGTTAGTGATCATTTGGGAAGTCTGTCATTCTCTGGCTTGACGGTTGATCGACTCGGGCTCGGTGGTGTTTAGCTTTGTAGGGGGCTGTAGGCTCATTCAATTCAGTCATCGTCGGGCTCCCGAGTTGTTGTGGGCTTCTGGAAACCAGTTGTCAATGAGATATGGCTAAGAGTTATGGGCCTTCTTGTGTAAACGCTGTTGGGCTTGGAGTTTGGCATGTAGGATACATGCTGACATCCTCCCTTCTCTCTCCATAGCCCTCTTTGTCCTGCCTACAGCACACAGGAAACCCCTCTTTAAACAAGAGCAGGTTTTCGAAGGGACTTCCATGGCCCTGTCCGTCACCCCCGCTCTCCTGCAAGAAAAAAGAAACAACTCCAGAAATACACCGACTAAAGTGCCACATTAAAAGTACACTTGTTGCACTGATCTTTGTTCCGAGCCCCTAGCCCTAAACCCTAAACCCCTCATGTTAGAACCCTACATTAGGGTTCGAGGTTTCGGGCTGAGGGTCGGCGGTGAAGGTTCAGGGTATGGCAACGGGTGCCACCCTGTAAGTACCGAGGTGTAAGTGAGTCTCGGAGCTGGGGAGTTTTTGTGAGCCTACAAGCAGATTCATCATCTGCTTCCCTGTTGGGCCATATTAAAAATGATCATTTTTTAATCCTTAAGTACGGTTAAAAACAAAAATGTGGTAAAATTGCTATCCAACAAGGACCCAGTGATCTATTCGTGCTCATTAATCACCACCTACAGCCTGATGCAGTTGCAGAGGATTGTTTGCCCCTGAGCCCTGCCCGCCAGACCCTCAACCCCAAATGACGAAGGAACCCTCAATGGCCCAAAATTATACATGCAACTCCAAGACCCTAAACCCTAAACAAAAAATACACATGAAACTCAAAGACCCTAAACCCTAAACCCCCCAAAAAATATACATGAACCTCAAAGAAGAGGCCTGGTTCTGAGCTTCAGCTTCATCGGGAAGCGACTCGGTCGCCTCGAAACTCTCGGAAGCTCTCATGCCGGTCTTGCGGGTTCAAGCGGCTAAGATTGTCTTATAACAGTTCGACAGGCTTTGTTTCTGATTTTTTTTTGGGGGGGGAGGTGGCGGGGGGGTAATTCTACTGTGAGAAGTACAATAATTAAGTACGGCACGCTAAGGAATGTTATCGCGGCCAAGTCATGCCCGAATTATCGTCCTTTCGGGGGTAGGGGAACAAGTGCTGCGGCGCTTGCGTGTGCGGGGTGGCTTTCTTGGTATATTATATGTCAGGACCCTAATTCTCTAGTGTGACTAAAGATCCAGTAATTCGAACAGGAAGCAATTGGAGGTACCCTGGCGCACTCCCAAAATCTATTATTAGTATAGGCAGAGTGAATCGAGTATGTGTCACGGAATCTTCTCCAAAGGTTTGGGTTTAGGGATTGCATCTCCTGATCCATTGCTATACTAGGACACTAAAATAAATGTGAAGGTGGGATCCTTCACAACTGGAATAGGGTCTTGGGGTCTATTGCACTATCACTACGATGAGCAACCCAAAAAGCCTATACTTACTACACTGCACCCGAAATTCGTGCCTCACTGAACACAATATGCCAAGTCGCTGCACGGATGAGGCGAGTCGCATTGTGCACCTGCTTCCTTGGGAGCTACGACAGATGGTGGGTATGAGGGGCACGACTGAAGTTATTCCTAATTATAGCCGCACTTAGAAGCTACTCTCTAGGTCTTCCGGATCCTTTACGTACACTCGAAGCACCGGAAAAATCCCTGACATGGCAGAAGAGATCCTGCATGCATGATGCCTGCTCATCGCAACTGCTTGGGAGGCAAGTGAAGGACCCTAAACCCCCAACCCTTGAACCTGAGTTTTCAGCAGTCCTTGGCTTATCCTGGAAACGGATAGGACAGACTGAGAATGGCATAGTATAGAGCATTCAGCGGCAACTCCTACCCACCAATGGGACCTACAACACTTCAAGGGGACTCTTTCCATCCTGGGCTGGTGCCACTTGCAGCCGGCAAGCTCTCAACATTCACGGGCGTCTAAGACCCCGATATGGAAAAAACGACACTTTAGCCCCTCTACCCGACAGCATCATCCGTGTGCCCTCCACACCAATCAACTAACTTCACAATGGATCTTTTTTGAATTTTAAACCCAAAACCCTTTTCTGAATCCCTGATGCCTAATCATCGATGCACCATGATGTCCGAGGAACGGAGGGACACGATGCCGCTCAACTAGCTGCTGCCTCAGATTTAGGGTTTAGGGGTCCAGAATCTGCCGGATGCATGGCGAACAGCTGAGTCCTCCACTTCTTGAGGCGTTTCTCATAGCCCATGAGCTGCGCCAGTCGGATGTGGTACCTGATGCAAGCCTAAATCCGGCTTTTGGGAGGTTACCTGGCTTTCAGAGCTGAGAGTCTCAGTGTTGGGGGCGGTTAACGCTTTGTTCTCAACTGCCACTCGGGAAAACGAAAATCCTAAACCTGGGGTTACTGCCCCCCATACAGAAACAGTCTTTCATAGGGCTACTATTTAGGGCCATATATATATATATCCATATTATGAAGGTTGCTCAACTGTTACTGAGTGGGGGCAGTATCCAACCTAAGCCGTAAGCCCGGAAAGCCCAAAGCTCAAGCCGTCGACATCTCAAGTACTCACACACAGCCTGGGACTCCAGGTCCTTTGCAGAGAAAGTCAATAAAAAAATATGAGAGAAAAGTAGCAGCTAGGGATTCAGTTTGGGCCACTTAGTTGCTACATAAACCCTTAACAGCAGGAAGCCAAACCTCTACTACATACTCTAACTCTAGAGCTTGAATCCTAACTGCTGAGAATACTTACCTGAACCAACCCTGACCGCAACCTGCTTTTTTTCGCAGGGTCCCCTATAAACCCTAGGAGCCCTAGAGCACCTTAGGAGCATCGATTTCGTCTCAAGGGACACCTGGCGCACCTGCGCGGGAGACCCAGGACCGATGCCGTGTCGAGGTTCACTGTTTATAGGGTTTCAATAGGATTTAGTAACCCTAAACCCTAAACCCTAAATTCAAGAGAGTTGGAAAGGCTTCGGAGGGAGGGCCTCGAGCCTTTCGGACTAAAATGCGGTTCCAGGGGTTTGAGGAGATTTCAGGAGTGTGGGCGAAATTTGGGCTGAGCGGAGCCACACGTTGCTAGATCTTGGGTCGGCATGCTACGTACGGGGTGGGAGGGTTTAGAGCTGAGGGTTTAGGGGTTCGATTCCTGACCCAAACTACCGGCTGGAGACTTGAAGGTGAACCTGCAATGAAGCAACGATGGGCCCTAAACCTGGATCCCTAAGTTCTATACCAGTAATTAAGGCCAGCGCCAGCTGATTGTCCGTCTCATCGCCGATGGAGCTTCGAATCGTAAGCCTGCATAGAGATTTTGTTTGGTCCGAACCCTTACAGAACATCGGGTGGACGGGTTCAGGTTGTAATATAGAAGCCTCAAATGTTGGAACTAGGGTCAAAGTCAGTTTAGGTCTAGGTGGGTTCGTCCTTTACCCGAAAAATTAGCGGAAACGCGTCTAGGTCCTAGATCTTCAGGGGTTTAGTGCTTCATGGCTTTCAAGGGTTCAGGGTTTAGGGTATGTTCGAGCCTTATAAACCCTGAACCCTAAAGCCCTAAACCCTAAACCCCAAACCCTAAACCCTGAACCCTAACCTTCACAGGCTCTTCGACATGAAATCGACCCACGGCCTTTCCAGCAGGACAGGCATGACGCCGAAGAGCATCAGCGGCCATTCTGCCCATGCCAGGGCATACAGCACCTGAGCTACAATATAGCGGGCTTCAGAATTCGCAGAGGGATTTGAGGTACGTAATAATATATGGTCATATGCGGGACTGCCAGGGGGGTATGACTAGCACTACTACTTGCTTCGACACCTTTTCTTGTGGTATTTCTTCACACCAGCCACAGCTTCTGTCCAAGCTCTGAAAAAGAAGCTTGGACTTTAGGGACAAAAGCTGATGGACTCAACCGCTGACTCCAACAAAAAGAATCGAAAAAACCTCCCGGATCCTTTTGACCCCATTGAAGGAATCCGAAAGACTCTAGCAGTTCCCCCGGGGAAGCCCCTTAACCCGACGGGCATAGTGTTTAGGGCTTGGGGCTTGGGGTTTAGTGTGAACCCTAAACCCTAAATCTGGGTTTAGGCTTTAGTGTGAGGTTTATGGCAGGTCAAGACTTTTTCTCCCGGGCTGCAATCTCCGTCCACGAGGTGAGCGGCACGCTGAGGTAAAACAGGACCAGGCACCTCAAACCAGAGACCCCCTTGCCCTCCAATTCAAGAATATACGTGCGGTCAGAATTAAGAAGCTTTCAAATTCCGCAATTGATTCATTCAGGGGCTTGTTGAACAACTTTGCAACTACCCCATACAAACCCTACATGTTAGGGAATCCTGCCTGTTTACAACCTAAATTCGTCTTCGGATGCGAACTTGTTGTAGGGCCCCAGCAGACTGAAGTCTAAGGCATTCTGGCACTTTGAGGGATCATCATCAATATCATCGTTACCATCATACAGTGAACTCTGAACCCCAAACCCTAAGACGGATAAACTGCACACTTCTACATATACATTGCAGTTCTGCGCTTTCTGCATGTGTTGCATATGAGGATGGGGTGGAAGGTCGGCTACAGCAGATTCAAGCATAGGCCGTAACAATCAGAATGAGTTATGGTGCACATTATGCGACAGTTCTGTAGGCACTGTGAGGGAATCCTCTTACTACTACGATCCCTAGGCCCTGACCCACTCCTGGCACGGATTTCTAAAGCGGGACGCCCGAACAGACCCCCACCCTATAGGGACCCTTTCGGGTTTAGAAGCACTTTCTGAAGCCGGGCTGCGTCACTAAGATGGCCTGCCACCAAGCGAGAAACTCGAAAATGAAAGCGTAGTGCTCCTGCTGCAGTCGAGTGTTGCAAGGGCGTTGGTTTAGACGTCCGGGATGTTAGAGAATTCTAACGTGCTGGTCTAAGGCTTATGGTTTGCTAACGATTTGGCTGCGTTAGGGGTTCAGGTGTTTTGTGGCTTAAAAGGCCTCGCTTGATTTTGTTATGTGCCGTACCGGTTAACCGCATAAAAATTTATGGTTTTGAAAGGTCTACTGCCATGAAGAGTTCCTGTTGCTGGACACGACTCAAACCCTCGGAGCCCTGGTTGAAACTCAGAGGAAATAGATTGCTAGAGCTCAACGGCTTTCTGTAGCTATCTATCTATCAACCTTTCTATGTATATCTGTTTAAACATATATATATATATATATAAATAAATATAAATATCTATATCTCTCTCTATCTCTTTATGTATTTATATCTTAATACCCTCCCTCCCTCCCTCCCCTCCCNNCCCTCCCCTCCCCTCCCCTCCCCACCCCTCCCCTCTCCCCTCCCCTCCCCCCTCGCAAATCCAAAAAAGGCATCCAAAAAATGCGAATCCAAAGATTCTGCAACAGTCTTTGGAATTTTGGATTTGCCAGGTCTGTTTGTAAAAAATGTATAAAATTATGTTTCATTCCTGAGGCTTTGCACATAAATTTCATACACGGAGCGCTTGCCGGCGCTCCTCACAAGCTCACACCAAGGGGACTCCCAAGGACGGGAACTTCAGCCCGGAGGTGGGGATATGATCCCTCATCCGCACTTTGATTTTAACATGTGGAGAGGACACTGTAGCAAACAAACTGAAAGCCCCCTCCTATTGTGACATTCCAACAGAACCTATATTCTGGAAAGATATCATTGATGTGATGGTATGTGTTTATGCTATGTGTCAAAAAGCCGTCGGTTTTCATGTGGAGTTTGTTATTACCAAAGGACTTGTTTGTTATTGAGCTTTGGTATCTTTTTCTAAGCAGCTATCTCGACTCCGAGTACGTTGTACAGCATAAAGTTTGAGGAGCATCTCCTTGCAAAGCTCGAGAGAGAATGCAGAGAAAAGATTCATCCAACGTTATATATGATGAAACATATTCGTTGCAGGGCGGTTAATTTAGGCATGACAGGAAATTGCAGAAGACGTTTTTGCCTTGTAGGCCCTATAAACCTTATAGAACTATATACCCCGCAGCCCCAAGCCAATGAAAAGTGTCCAAAGTCGGTTATGACCCGTCTGGTCCGTCGTCATGCTCGCCCGCTGGAAGCTGGATGCTGGTGCCTTGACAACATCCGCAGCTAGATGAACTTTGCTCAGGACTTTGGGAAGGGTCCAAGTACCTCATACTCCAACATACACTCCGAATTGCTAACCTACCAATCTACTATCCCAAACCCAAATACCTAATTTATTGCATACTTTGACGCCTCAAGGTTAGAGCGTGGGGGTCTCGGAGGAGTGCCTCCTCAGCATGCCTTTCGGATCTCCGATCTTAAAGACCTTCGAAGACTTCGATGTCATGTGTTGTTAGTCTGACAGCGGCTATGACCGCCTCGTACAATCATCTGCGAAACGCTCATGTATTTTGTGAAAGTTGTTGCGACAACTCCTGTAATTGTGATCGTCAGAAGCGGGATAAGTGGCGGGGCCTATAGTGGCGTTCCTGAAGCCAGGATTGCCTGAGCTTCTCAGAGAAAGCCCACCCTCGCATCGGTCCCTAGCGGGTTCATTTAGCTTACCCTAAGCCCTTTTTGCATCTGGTTTGCAGCGACTCAACCAGGACAGAAACAAGAGGCACACCGGCACACCCGAAGCCCACAGCCTAAACCCTAAACCCCTAAACCCTAAACCCTTCATGTAAGGGCTGCTGCACGGGTTCCTGCAAAGGTGATACCAAGGGTCTCATGTAACTATCCGAAAATTGAGAGAGGAGGTTTGGGTTCAAGGTTTAGGGCTTGAGGGTGTTGTAATGCTTAGCGTATCTAGTTCGGGGAAACCTTTCCGCGCCCAACTCGCAACCTCATGGCCCCGAAATGCCCAAAACCGCAACCATCGATCAAGACATGGCCTTCCCGAGCTCCACATTGTCGATGTCAATGTTGCCTGAGATTCAGGTGGCAATCATGGAGCCCTTGCAATCTTCACCTTGCCGTTGTTCAGGTTTTTTTCGCGTGTCGGGTTTAGGCTTTGCTTCAGGGGTTTAGGCGCTGAACTTAGAGGCACTGGCACCCTAAACCCTAAACCCGGACAAAGCTTTTTGGCGCCCCTATTGATCATGATCTTGGACCCCTGGGGCAGCGTCCAGCAGATAAAGGTAAAGAGGACCTTTACCTTCAGATATGTCGAATATCTTTAAGGTTTTTTCCCACCCGCCCAGCTGACTAAGTCGCACCGCAGGGAACTCCTTCGACGATCTTTAGGGTTTAGGGATTAGGTGCAGTTAATAGTTGGGATGATCGAAACCTTGCCTTGCCAACAGATCCAAACGGAAACCCTAAACCTACCCTAAACCCTAAACCCGAAAAAGTTATGAACCCTACACCCCAAAAAAGCACAATTGCGGCCACGAAGCAGAGGCCAGGAGCACCAAACTTGAGTTCAGCACAGATCGTGGAGGTCATGTCGTAATGCTTCCTTCGCGCTTTCGGAAGTCACTGACGGCTAAAGCTTCAGGGTTTCAGGGCTCACCTCTCTCTCTCTCTCTCTCTCTCTCTCTCTCTTCCGAAACCCTGGCTTCAGAAGTGCGTGCTGCAGGATTGGAGGACTTGAAGTCTTATGTTTCTTTTCTCTGGGGCGTGTATGCAAAGCTCCGGAGAGTTAAGCGCCAAGCTCTTAGTCTCAGTCTAAGGCCTTGTGCAAAGCAATGCTTGCAAGCGGAATACCTTGAGCGCGTACCCTGAGCTTCAGGGAGTGTTGGGCTCAAAGTCTGGCACTCAGATGTCTTAGCTTGCACATCGAATTTTCGGCTCTCCGCAATCCCAAACCCCTGACCCAAAACCTAAAACACCCTACACCCTTAAGGGTTTAGGGTTTAGGGGTTTAGGGCTTAGGGTCTTGATTCGCCTAAGCTCCCAACCCCAGAAACTCACTGGCGAGGCTCATGAGCATGTAGGTGCTGGTTCCGGAGAAGAGCACGAGGATCTGCCTCGCATCTTCCGGCCTAAGTGCTCTTTTTCGCGAAAACATGCAGGGACGAGTACAGATTTATGTTGAGGTCTTTATGGGGTTTGGGGTTTTGGTTTTGATGTAGGGTTCAAGGAAGGATGTCTCCTTCAATCCTGTTTTGTCAATCAGAGCACTAAGCCTCTGGCAAGGTGGGCGTGAGGGCGAGCGTGTCCTTTTCGATGAGGTGGCCGACAAAAACACCTGGGAGATACTTGGCTGCCTGTACTTCAGGCAGCCATAATATACTATAATAATAGGGGCCTTAAGAATTAAATGGGGTTATAGGGTAATGAAGTATTCCGGGCTTCGAGAGCAAGGGCCTTTCCTTGTGTTGCGGGGCCCTTGTCCTCAGCCTGTTGACGTCAGACATTGTGGAACTTCTCGACGCAAGCCTGGTATCCCCTGCAGCCCCCCCCGAACCCTGATTAACCCCGAAATCCGAAACCCCGCTGCCTCAGTTTATGCACATAAGACATAGAAACGGCTATGCCAGGTAGCCGAGTAAAAACCCCCACTCCATAATCAGTGTCGGAATTGTTCCTCGATAGGCTGTTGCAAAAACTAGGTTTTTCAAGACAAAGAAAACAGATAAAGGGCACGCAATCGAGATGATGTTTTAGACTTCACTAAGAAGCCTAAGTTTCACTTTCGCGACGATGGAGACTTCTCGAACGACCTAAACTGCCTCTTTTGCGGCGTCGAGAGACCGATGCCGAGGAGGAAGTAGGCGAGGAAGCAAAGAAGCTCCTGAGTGGTTGAGGGGCCCCTTTTCAAGGGTTCCGAGGATGGTCGTAGTAGTGGTATAGTAGTTGTAGGTGGTAGTAGCAACTTAGTAGTAGTAGTAGTAGTAGTAGCAGCAGCCGTCGTCGTGGTAGTGGCAGCGGCAATGCAAAAATGGCGATATGGATCCTTCTATGGAGGGTTAGATCAAGGCCCGCTCTGAACAGTGTCATTCTCTTTAACGAACCCGGGCTAGTGGGCTTTGGGTTTGGGGGTTTAGAGGTTTATGGTTCAAGGGATCAAGTGATCAAGTATGATCAAGTCATGTCCCGGTTGGGCTCATGGTTCTATGACGACAGTACGACATTCTGGCGGGGGGGGGGGGGGCCAGAAAAGGATCCAAATTTAGAGAAGTAC